TTGGGAAGAGCCACACTCAAGGGGCCAAAGAGCCGCATGTGGCTCACGAGCCGCAGTTTGCCAACCACGGCACTAGGCTTTCCATCTATTGCTCCTTGGGTTCATTTGGAAACCTCGGAGAGCAGATGCAAGACAAAGACTTGAGGGAGGTGATCCACAGAATTATAAGGAATGAACTGGAAGTTGATAAAGGGTGCATGGATGACTGAGTTTCACTGTGAGCAACTGGGATTCTATCATGCAGAGGACCCTTTGAGAAGTTGTAGAACACACCTCTGAGTTTTCTACTGAGCAATGGGGAAGCCTTGCTCTTTGGTTAAGGACTGTTCCTGGGGGTGTTCAACATCTGCCATGTGGTCTGAACAAGCACCTGCCATGCTGTGGAAGACCCTCCAACAGCAATGCACAAAGATGAGAGCGTTGGAGGTGCAAAGAGGTTAGCTTGCACGAGAACTACAAACCACAGCTGTGTGAGCTGGATGAATATGGAATGGAGTACCTGCAGCATCAACCATACGCCTCCAAAGGAATTTGTTTTAACTTCCCCTTCAGATCACCAACTTCCATTTATGGAGCACTCATAGCATTTGCCACATATACTGCCTCCTCTAATCCCTACCACAGCCTAAGGAGGTGGACACTATCATCATTCCCCTTTTTCCAGGAGAGAAAACCAAGGCTCAGAGATATTAGCTCACATGCTCAAGTTTACCACTGGCAGAGAGCCCTCTGACTCTGAAGCCCAGGTCTTAACCACTGCGCTCTGTCGATTCCCCCATTTCTGGAAGTCTCTTTCGCCCATATTTTTTTCTGTCACAGTGGAATGTTTGACTATCTCTTATCAGTGCAATGGTCCCCATCTCCTTAAACAGCTTAGTGAATTTCCCAGGACACTCTGATGGTCAGAAGTATTACCACTTCCCAGCTTAGCAACCATCTATTTTACCAAGCATGTATGCTGCTAAGCCCGAGAATACGAAAACAACTGTCTTCATCCCTACCCTGGCAATGTTCAGTCTCTTTTCTTAACTTGCACAATTGTATTTGACCCCTCAGATGTTTTCTATATTTGAGCATTACAGTAAAAGCTGTTATCTCAGAAGTATAGCCAAGCATCTGAAATATTCCTCTTACACATTTTCAGTTTGATTCAGTCCTTCAAATACAATGGAAGTCCACTTTAAAGGAATTTGATTAAATTACAGTTAGACTTTCTCTGAGGCCTTGAGCTATACAGAACAAACAAAAAAATCCATGGGTAAGATCTTTCTCACCAAACTTTACACAAGAAAAGGCAAAAACCTTGGTAATCCATGAAGAAAAAAATGGGTGTTTTAATACTATGGTTTACTCAGAAATGTGAGAAGACAATGAGTTAATCAGAAAGTGCTCTTAAAAATCATCTTTGTCTCAATGTCAAATTAATACACTCGAGTCCCCTCCCCCCGGAACATGGAGTTCAGCGTTTACTACATTTCCCCCCCAGTGACACTGAGCAGAAGGCCAGGTCTGCAGCGCTTTTAGTCTCATCTCCCTGTTCCTAGCTTATAACCCAACAGGAGACTAAGTAGCCCCTTGAAATTTGAAGTAATGAAATGTGAGCTCTGTGCCTGAATTTGAAGGAGATAAAACCACCAGGCAATAAGGAAGGGTGGTTGATTACTGAAGACATAAGAGCAACACAAGCAAGAGGAAAAAATGCAGGAAAAAGAAAGAAGGGTAATAGAAGAAGAAAGGAATAGAAACCTACAACAGTAACTCTTTGTGGTTTTAAGACCAGGATCCCCTGAGAACTAATGAAAACTAAAAACCAGAAGAATTTGCATGCAATTTTAAAGGCTTCATGGATACCACGATGAGCTTCTATCCTCAGAATCTATTTGCCTCAGATGAATAATTTCTCCTCTAGAGGCTCATCAGTGTCATAAAATTAGAAAAAAAAGACCACCTTGTTGTAATCAAGGAGCAGATACAAACATCCAACTGGCAAACTGCCCCATCGAATGGCCACCTTTCAACGTACTGATCACCTAGTGAGACTTGCTATATGCTCAACAGTATATGAGCTTCCTTGGTGTTTCAAGAACCATGCTATTAAAAAAAAACCAGGGTGTATTTTTTTAAATCATCACCCAAGGATAAGTTTCTTGATTTTTAAAGAGAGAGGAAGGGGGGGAAGAGAGAGAGAAAGCAAAACATCGATGTATGAGAGAAACATCGATCGAATCCACAACCTAGGTATGTGCCTTGACTGGGAATTGAACCCACAACCTTTTTGGTGTACAGGATGATGCTCCAACTAACTGAGCCACCCGGCCAGGGCGAAAAAACAGGGTATTTTAAGGCTCCTTCCTGCCAGCAAGGTCAAGCCAGCCCCTGCCAGCAAAAGCCAGCCCCCAGGGAGCATAAATTGGCACAACCACTTTGCAGAGCAATTTGGCAATATCTAGTGAAGCTGAGGATGTGTATGGTACACGACTCAGCAATTCCACTCCTGGGTATATGCCCTAGAGAAATCCACTCGCAAGAATGAGGAGACAGCTTGGTTCAAAATAGCCCAAAGCTGGAAACAACCCCAATGGATAAATACCTGGTAGAATGTTCATGCTGCAGAATACTAAGTATACTAAGATTTATCTTGTCAATCAGAGTAATCTCATGCTAAGTGCAAGAGGCAGGTTGTAGAAGAAAACATTTATAGAGAAATGTAGAGCATGCAAAACAGTACCATATGTATGTATTTCTTATATATTTATATAATAAAACTGTAAATGCATAAATGGAAATAAGCAAAATTCAGGAAACTGCCTTTAGATGGGAAAGAGAAAGGAATGGGGTCCAAAAAAGGAGCACAGGGACTTAAACTGTACTAGAAAGGTTCATTTTGATGGTAGGTTGCTCCATCGCCTCCCTGCCCTCACCTCTATTCTCCCTCCATCACTCTGCTCCAGCCACCCTGGCCTCCACTGTTCATCAAACACAGTGCAGCCTCAGGGCCTTTGCACCTACTGTTTTCTTTGCCTGGCATTCTCCTCCTTCAGCTGTCCTCATGGCTCATTCACTCACCTCCTTCAGATTTTCATTAAAATATCACCCTCCCAATGAAATCTTTCCTGGCTTCTAGCTCTCCTGCCCATAATACATCCCACTCCTTCTCCGATTTATTATATCTCTGTAGCCTTCACCAGCATCTATACACTAGATATCTCATTCATTCATTCATTTTGTCTTTCTTCACCACTAGAGTATCAGTTCCACAAGAGGAGAGACATTTGTCTATCTTGTTCACTGCTGTGTCTCAGAGCCTGGCGCATAGTAGATGCACACTAAATATTCACTGAATGAATATTTGCATACACAGATATTTGTTCTATTATCCTCTACTTTTTTTGAATGTCTGATTATTTTTATTATACATTTTTTAACAACAATAACAAAGTCAGCCATGGGGCCATTTCACAGATGAGTTTTCTAGCAAGTGAAGAGGAAAGTGCCCACTGCCATGACATGTCCCTGGAACCTGCTAAGGTCTCAAGCCACAGGACTTGGGCACAGCCAACAGCGGTCCCTTAGGAAACCCCACCTGCTAGAGCTATCCCTCAGTCCTCCAAACAGACTTCTCCCCTCTGACCGCCTCTACTGAAACAGCCCCATATGACACAGCTCCTACTGTGAGAAGCAACATTGCTTTCAGCAACATATGTTCTCAAAACGTGAATAGCGAGAGCCTAGCCAACACAGTATGAGTGCTAAGACCCATGGCATCTGCCAAGAGAGACAGGACCTAGAGCAGCAACAGAGCCTAGAAGAGAAATAGGAACCCACGGAGGACTGCGACCCCACAGAGGAGAACTATAAGGAAGGCCTCCCAACAAAGAGGGTCTTGGAAGAGAAGAGCCAGGCTTAGCTTGAGGGAGGGGAGTGGGTGGGCAGAGGAGGCAGAATCAACACAAAATGGTAATGTCCTTACTGGGATCTGATAAAGGGCTTTGAGGTCTGGGACAGAGGGTGGCTGGCCCTTCACCAAATCTATTTGCCTTCTGCCTTCCTCTCTATGCACGGTCTCGAATTTCCCAGCTTCCCTTGTAGTGATGGCATATGACTAGAGTATGTGCCAGGTCCCAGCCGAGCTCATAAACCTCCCAAGTATCACCTTCCATGCTCATTTCTCTTCTGTGGTTTGATGCAGATAAGCACAGAGTTCTTGGAAGGTGTGGGTTAACATGAGGAACCATTATTAGGCCCGGGCTCCTCAACCACTGTTCGGAGGAGAGAAGCCTGCCAATGAGGAACAGCTATTTTGAACTTAAAATGATAGAGAAATAAACTTTGGTTGTGTTTGTCATTACCTAGTTTTGGATTTTTTGTTATAGAGGGTCCTTGATGGAAAGTGTATACACATCCACCTTTCAACTATAGTTCCTTGTATACAGATCTGAAGACTTCCCGAAGGCAGTGACTGCACCTTATCTAAACGGGTCCTTTCCAGAGTCCTACCACTACCTCTTGCACCCCAAAGTCCTCGACAAACATTAACCAATTTAAATTAGGGGCAAGACATCTCCAAGCAAAGCAAAAGGACCATGCATGCACAAGAGTTAAAAACATGACTTCTGTGATCACATAACCTCAGCTTCAAATCCCCGTTCCATCACTTACTAGCTGGGTGCTCTCAGACAAGTTCCTCTCTGTGCTTCCGACTCCTCAGTGGTCACATGGGGATATTAATATTTCCTAATTCATTGGGTTGTTGTGAGGATTAAATGAGAGGACGCACATAAAGCACTTTGGAAGCAGTTGACTCTAATAAGCTATTATTCTAATTGTAACAGAAAGCATCCGCTGTAATATGTAGCCGAGATTTGGAGGTGGGGTGAAGGAAGGCAGGAGAACATGGAGGCTCGGCCTCCTCGAGCCTAGCCTGGACCCCACCAGCTGCTACACTTCCAAAGTCCTTGGAATTCAAGATAACGCTAAGGAACAGAGCACGCTCCGCTTACCCCGTTAGCACCACCACGAAGTCCATCACGTTCCAACCATTCCTCAAGTAAGAGCCTTTGTGGAAGGCAAACCCAAGGGCGATGATTTTAATGCCAGCCTCGAAACAAAAAATTCCAATGAAGTACGGTTCTGTGTCATCCTGGAAGGGAGAAAGGGTAAGATCAGGTCTTTGCCAGGCAGAGGGTGGCACGATCAGGGAGCCAGCCCACCTGGAGATCTGTCCCCACCTCCCCTCATCTCTTGCAACACTCCAGGCTCCCGGCCCCAACCACATCCTTCCTAGTGTTCTCTGGCCCGAAGGCTTTTTGCAAGAGAAACAGACACAGGGGAAGGCACCCTCCCTCTTTCCTTTTGGTCAACTTCACACACCACTTGGCCAAGGAGAACTGTTTGGACCTGCGCTGTCTAATACAGCAGCCACTGGTTACATTAGCTGCTTACATTTAAATAAATTTAAATGAATTTGAATGAAATAAAATGGAAGGTTCAGTTTCGCAGTCACACTAGCTACCGTTCCAGTGGTTTCCATATTAGAAAGTGCAGATGGAGAACGTTTCCATCACCACAGAAAACTCTACCAGAAAAGCGCTGGCTTAGCCTATTGACTCGTCACACACATCACTCAAGGCCTTTGCGGTTGGACCCCGTGCACTGACCTCACCCCCAAATCTGACATTTCTGATGGCTCTCAGCTGGTATGCACCAGAACAGATGTTCAGGTTGCTAAAATATTGGAATAATACTTCTGCGCTCACTGGCAAATGGCCAGTGCCTCTGCCCACCCCCTCCCCCAACCTCTAGCTGGACCTCCTGCCAGCTCTAGTTTCCAGCTGATGGTCTATAGTTGAAATGAAGCTATAAGCTCCACTCTGTCAGAGTCCCTACACGGACATTTTCCCATCTGTTATGATAACGTTTCTCAAGCTTCATTTTTTTGTATATCAGTTTGCCATGGCACTACTATTTGTTTACTCTTCTCTCAATTGACTCTCTTCACTTAGCAAAAACAAAAAAGGTCTTGAAATTATAATTTTGCTAGACTGGTTCTATCTTTTTGGAATACACATTATAATGCATAACTGTTAAAATTTCAAAGTCCTGAGACCATCAATACTGTATGAATTAGGAACCATTAGGATTCTTACTACTCCCTCTCTACCCTGGAGCTAATACAACTGCTTCTAAAAGTGACAGAAAGGAGAGAAGTCTCCTCCATTGTATTGTCAGGATGCCAGGAGGGGAGCAAGGAGCTGGGGGGTGGGGGTGGGTCAAGAAGGATCTTAATGCTAGTTTTCAGCTCTGCCGAGTTTGAATGAGGACTCTGAATGTCCTCCGGAGCTGACATCCATGTATAGGAAGCACAGGGGATGGAGAAACAGCTAAATGACATCATAAATAAGCCACCAGGCAAAAATCAGAATGTGGGGCACTCCTTAGGGCATCTGGACTGGTTTCTGCAATAAGGCAATGACAGGAGAGAACATATTACTCTAAATTAAAAGTCTTAAGTGACCTAACAAAATCTAGACCATGCTCGGATCTTGGTTCAAACAAATCAATTGTGAAATGCCATTTCTGAGACAATCACAGAAATGTGATTACTGACTGGGTCTTAGATGACCCCAAGGAACCACTGTTACTTGTGTTGGGCGTGAATATAAAGCTGTGGTGATGCAAGAAACACCCGTCTTTTTAGCAATGCAAACTTAGGTATCCGACCACAAACTGACATGTTGTCTGGGATTTGCCTTAAGAAATGTTGGTCGCCCTGGCCGGTTTGGCTCAATGGATAGAGCGTCGGCCTGTGGACTCAAGGGTCCCGGGTTCGATTCCGGTCAAGGGCATATACCTTGGTTGCGGGCACATCTCCAGTGGGGAGTGTGCAGGAGGCAGCTGATCGATGTTTCTCTCTCATCGATGTTTCTAACTCTCTATCCCTCTCCCTTCCTCTCTGTAAAAAATCAATAAAAATTATTTTAAAAAAAGAAAGAAAAAGAAATGTTGGTTGAGACAAACCACGAAAATAAAAAAAGGACAGAAAATACACATGAAGCAACATCTTGACAACTGTTGGATCTGGATGATGGGTTCATGGGGTGTGTGTGCGTGTGTGTGTGTGTGTGTGTGTGTGTGTGTTCATTTAACTGTTCTCTGTATTTTGGTGTATGGACCAAATTTTTCACAAGAATTTGGGTTTGAATGTGACATTTTCATGAACAATGTGTGACCACTCTCACCCAACCCCACCTGGTTGACACCAGGTCTTGTCGGGGGCAAGGGTGAGCGATGGACAGTGAAGGCATCTCTCGTCCCAGATTATTGGTGTTCGTGATATTTATGCTTCCCCAGGTGGGGGGGGGCGGTACACAATCCAGCTCTTGGCTCCAAGACCCAGAGCGGCCTCTGCTCCCACCACCCCATCAGTTTGCCCAAAAGCAGAGGAGAGACATCACTCACCAGCCGTTCAGACATGGGGGTCTTGTCATCGTCAGGTAAGTGTTGCTCCAGGGCGAGGACGATGCAGTTTGCTATGATGGTGGCTAAAATCATATATTCAAAGGGAGTATCAGAGAATTAAGGAAAAGCTTTCCAGCTGTTTAGGTTCACAGCAAAACTGAGCAGAAGGTACAGAGACTTCCCATAACCCCCTTTTTCCCCACATGCACAGCCTCTCCTACTACCATATCCCCTCTCCCCCTGCCAAAGTGGTACATTTGTTACAACTGATGAACCTACACTGACATATCATAGTAACTCAAAGTCCACAGTTGATGCTAGGGTTCACTGTTGGTGCTGAACAGTTCATGGGTTTGGACATGTATCCACCATTATAGTCTCATACAGAGTAATTCCTCTGCCCTAAAAACCAGGCAGATGACTTTTTAAGGAAAATGTGAATATTCTTCTTCCATCTCACCGCTAACATTTATTGGACAAATATGAAATTCAGCACCTACTATGTGCTAGGCCCTATTATGGGCACTAGGGACACTGGAGAGTAAGACAGAGAAGTGAGGAGAAGCAAGTAAGTGAGATAACCACATTATACAGTACATTAGAAGATGGTGAATGCTACAAAAAGAAAAAGCAAGGAAGGTCACAATTCTGGGTTGCAATTTAAAATACGGTGATCAGCGCTGGCTAGTGTTTCTCAGTGGTTAGAGCATAGGTCCTTGAACCAAAAGGTCTCGGGTTTGATTCTCAGTCAAGGACACATACCTGGGTTGCAGGTTCGATTCCCAGCCCGTGGAAACGTGTGCAGGAGGCAACCAACCCATGTGTCTCTCTCACATGGATGTTTCTCTCCCTCCCTCCCTTCTACACATTCTTTCTCTAAAAAAAAAATGGAAAAAATATCCTCAGATGAGGATTAACAAAAATAAATAAAAATAAATAAAATACGGTGGTCAGATATGACACCAAAAGCATGAGCAACGAAAGAAAAAAAATCGATAAATTGGACTTGATCGAAATTTAAAGCTTTTGTGCATCACAGGGCATTATCAGGAAAGTGAAAAGGTAACCAACAGCTACGTGCAGAGGCGGCATCCAGTCTCCCTCCAGGCCAACTCCTCCCTGTATCCTGGGAACTCTCCTGTGGTTAACAAGATCCCCAGAGAGACCCACTGGGTGGAGTTTACTTGGGGAAGGTCTGTCCTGTTCAGTTCATATTGGGGCTTGATCGGGTGGTGAGTGAGAATGTCCCCTGGCCCCCTGTCGGACCTGCAGAAGCACCCCTGGTCCCGCAGCCTTGCTACACGGACCTGGCAGACCCTGAGAAGAAGGTTTAGGTTTGGAGAAAGGGGCATTAGGGGGAGAAAGCATAAGGTATTGCTTACTCTGGAGCTGAGCTGCCCAACCTCAACACTACTGACATCGGGGCCGGATCATTCTCTAGGGTGGGGGCGTCCTGGGCACTGGATGTTGAGCAGCAACCCTGGCTTCCCACTGGTTGCCAGTAGCACCCTCTCCTCCCCAGTTATAACAATTAAAAGTTACAACAACTAAAAGTGATCTCCAGACACTGCCAAGTGCACTGGATGTTGAGCAGCATCCCTGACTTCCCACTGGTTGCCAGTAGCACCCTCTCCTCCCAAGTTATAAAAAGCTTACAACAACTAAAAGTGATCTCCAGACACTGCCAAGTGTCACCGGGGAACACTGAAATCCACTATTGTTCAAAAGGATCAAAGAGCGGGTCCTGGTGAACTTGGCCATGCTTAGCCGCTGTCCTCCTCCCAGCTTTCTCCCTCGGAAACTTAACTGCTTTCAGTCTCCTCTTCAGCTCTAGAGTTAGGCTCAGCATTTTGGAAGCTCCACAAAACCAAGGGGTCTTACAGGCTGGAGGAGTTGGGGCATAAACCCACTTTCCAGGTGGGAAAACTGAGTCTGCAACAGAAAACCTGGGAGTAAACGTCTACATAAGTCAGGAAAGCCAGGCCTTCTTTGTCACCAGCTCCAGCCTTTGCCTCCAGCCGAAAACAGCTGAGTTGCACTCCATGCACACTCTGAAAAGCAAATCTGAGACTCAGGGCAATTTGGGGAGCCAACAAAAGCCAGCCTTGCCGACGATCGTCTCTGATTGGCTTCCTGCCTCCGAGCTGACAGTCATTAGGAGCACAGAGAACAAAGCTGGGCTCTGTTGCACAAATACTCCATTCTGCCTCACCCTGCAGCCCGGAAAATAAGAGACAATATTTGTACACAGAGAAGCAACGCCAGGCCCTTGCCTGGCCTCCCCTTACCGAGGCTTCTGAAATCATGATTTGAATCTGATGATTTTGCTTCCCTTCCCTGCCAACCAGCTCCCTGCTTACTTCTGCATTAAGCTTCCTTCTCACTCCTCTGGCCCCCTGGCCTCCTGCCCCCAAACAGCTGGGATGTGCCTTCCTTTGCATCAGATTCAAGCTGAGGTTCCAGGAAGCGTCCCAGAAGGCCGGCAGCAAGCAGCACTTTGATGGGCTGCATTATCAGGGCTTCAGGTGCACAGTATCGCCTGGCTTTCAGACCCGGAGCTTGCTGGGTACAGTGATGAAGCCTTAGTCAGCACGCCCGGCAAATGGAACGAGGTTGCCTCTTCCTCCCTTGTTTCTGTTTTTTTTTTTAGTTCTTGACAGACACAGCCACACTGGCTATCAAATGTCATCTCCCTCTCCCTCCATGCACCCATGCATCCTGCCAATGCCCATAAGGGACGGTGCACCATCAACCTCAGATCCTTGTGGTCCAAGGACCAGCAGCACCAGCAGCTCCCACTGAGATGCAGAGCCTCAGACCCCAGGCCGACCCGCTGAGTCAGTAGCTGCATTTTAGCAAGAGCTTCGGGGGATCTGTGTGCACACTGAAGTTTGGCAAGAGCTGCCTTGCATCTATTTCAGGGCCAGGAGGAGCCCAGGTAATTGTGGCTTTGAGTCATCCCAAAAGAAGTGGTGGGGGCTTTTCTTTCTCCCCCAAGCGTTCTCCTCCATGTCCTGACCCCAGGAGAATTCCGCACTCCTCATCTTCTGCTACCACTCAGGCAAGGGGGCTGATAAGAAACCCAAGATCTGATGAAACAAGAGCAAGGCTGGAATAAGACAAATAAGCAAAAAGAAAAGTATCACTTAATGCGCGTGGAAGTAGCCACTGCCTTCCCTTGGCTCTCATTTCCCCCAGAAGAAAGCTCAAGTCCTCCCAGCAGCCAGCAGGGCCCTGCACGCCCTGCCCCTATCTTCTCCATTCTCCCCATTTACTCAGCTGCAACCACACTGGCCTCCTCCAGGTTCCCCAAACACACCGGGGCCTTTGCCTCTGCTGTGCTCACCCCTGGAATGCTCTTTCCCCCAGAGACTCACGTGGTTCCTTCCCTCAAATCCTTTAGGTCTTTACTCAAAGGTCAGATCCTTCAACCCCCTTCGCCTGCTTCATTCTTTCCCTTGGTCTTTGTCCCCAAACATCTGCTATATTTTTCTTCTTTCACTGTTTGTCTCCCCTACTAGACTGTACCAGTGGTTCTCAACCTTCCTAATGCCGGGACCCTTTAATACAGTTCCTCATGTTGTGGTGACCCCCAGCCATAAAATTATTTTCGTTGCTACTTCATAACTGTAATTTTGCTACTGTTATGAATCGTAATGTAAATATCTGATATGCAGGATGTATTTTCAGGGGTCTCGACCCACAGGTTGAGAACCACTGCGTGTAAGCGCTATGCAAGCAAGAATTTTTATCTACTTTGTTCATCTCAGCACCAAAGAGGGTGTATGTTATACAGTATAGTAGTTGCTCAATAAACACCTGTGCAAGAAAGAAAGGGGGGTGGGTTCCTGTTTTTTTGCACCTCTTCCCCAACTCCATCTCATGCCAACTCTCTATGGGCATGTTAAGGACAGAACCAGCTCCTTAAAATAAGAATGGTGTGACTGGCGCATAGACACAAAGACTGGGTACTGAGGTCCTGGCATGGGAAGAGATGCCTTGCCCCAGGCAGAAGTCCGGGCAGGGGGAGGTAAGGCTTTCTCAGCCCAACCCCAAGTTGTGCCTGATCCTCCGGATTTAGAAAGCCTGGGTTCTAACTCACAGCTGCAGCGAGCAATGCCTCTGCTAGCTGAGCTGAGCCTTCCTGCTTCCGGATTGGTTGGTGAAAAAGCACCTGTGTCAGCGGGATCCAGAATAATCAGCCAGCCGAAGAGGCCAAGGGGAGGGAGGGTGGGGGGGTGGAGATGAAAGGAGAGAAGCATCCCTGATGTGAGGAAAAGCTGGCTCCTGAAATGGCTCCTGGAAGGCAAGGGTAGCAAACAGCCCTGCAGGCAAGTGCAGATGCACAAAGCTCCCCCCTCAATTAAATTGATAAGGACCCACAGAGGCCCTGGAGAGGGGCTGTGTGTGACACTGGAAACGACCAAGCAATTCTTCCCAGGGAGGGAGGGAGGGCTGCATCTGCTAACAGGAGCTGCTCTTGAGAACCAGAACATCAAGGAAAATCAATTTGCAAAGTGGGTATGGCTGATGGTTCCAGCCCCTTAGCAAGACCTTGCAGAATATCCAAGTAACTCATCCTTCTCTTTGTGGTGCCTCCCCCCCCCCACCCCCATCTCACTTCCAATCTCCTGTTGTTAGTATGAAAATCAAATCAAGTTTGTTAACTGATCAAGGTCTTGTCTCTACTATGGGGGCTGTCTGATGGATGTTTTATGAGGAAACAGATACTTCACTGAGTCAACCAAGCAGTTGAACTTGTGGGGAACATCCCAACAGACCTTATTTTCATGTTAGTTCCACGCTCGTCACAATTACCGGGAAAAGAGAGGAGGGTACCGGGGCTCTAGATGTACGGGTGTAGAACGTATTCCTTGCTCCACTAAACAAAAGCCACAATTTAACTTGGCAATATGATCAACTATTATGGGGCCATTAACAGGCACAACAACCATAATTACAGCTGCCATTTATTGAGTGCTTCGTTGGGCAGACACCGTGCTAAGCACTTTCCACTCATTGTTTCAGTTAATTCCTTGCAGCAATTTTATAAGGTGGGTTCTGTTGCAAGCTTCATTTTCTAGATAAGGAAAGCAAGGCTCAGAG